AGATCTAGTTAGTAGTAGAAAGATACTAGTACTAAGCTAAAGAGAGCTATTAAGAGCTCTATGTATAGAAGAACTTCTATAGAACTTCTACGTATAGAAACCTTCTCTCTCTTTTTTATAAATTACAAAAAATTAATAATCCTCTACTCTACTAGTAGAGCTAACTATCTCTCTACCCTACTAGTAGAACTAATAACTTACTACTTTACTAGCAGCTAAATACCTCCTCTCTTTACTTCTTTCTTAATTAAAAAGCTAAACAAATCTAAACACTATAGAAGAACTCTCGCGAAGTTAATCTAGAAGTAGTACCTTAGCTCTATAATACCTCTTTACCTTAATAGTTCTTAAATCTAGAGTAGCAAACCTGCTAGTAGAATATACTAATTAATATTTCTATTATAAAAACTCTATTTAGCAACACAACGCGATAACTAATAAGAATTAGAATAATAACTTTAACTAGAAGCTTATAAGACTTTACTAGAGCTTAGTAATACTAGAGCTATTATTAGCCTTAGGTTTATATATACTCTCTACCTCTACTAAAAAGCTTTAAGAGCTTTTTCTAGAAACGCTAGCTAAAATTATTAATAAAATAGTTAGCTAATTATATATATAATAGGTATATAAATAATAAATCTACATATATTACTAGATTACTACTAACGCTTTTACTAAGAGAGATAATATATACGTAAGATATTAGATATAGGCTACTACTCTAGTAAAAAAAAACGCTAAAATCTAGTAACTATAAGCGTAATTAACCTGCTCTAGAGACTAGATACTACCTACTACGCTAGTTTAACGTATAACGCGTTTCTCTACAATACTAATTATACGTAATTTAAGCGCGTTACTACTAGAGAATTTAATCTTAGATTCTTACCTCTCTATATACTAGCTAGCTACACCTCTAGCGTCGTAAGTATAAGAGAGCTAACTAACACGCTCTACTAAGTTTCTAGATTTACTCTTGTTATTAGATAGTAAGAGTATTACCTTTAAGTAGTAAAGAGATAGCTTATATAATAAACTTTAAGTAAACTAGAATTAGTATACTAGAGATACGCTAGAGAATACTAAGAAAACTATTATTACCTATATCTATACGCAAACTAAAGAAGACGTGTACTAGACTCTATTAGTAATACTACGTACTATTAAGAATAGTAGCGTAGTAGTTTTCTATAATTATATTCTTAATTAGCTAGAAAGAAGCTATAGAGACCTATATAAAAGGCTAAACACTTACTATAATTTCTAAAAGCTTTATTACTAAAGCGCTACTAACTTTGCCTACTTCTAGAATAATTTCTTTCGCCTTATATAGAAGCGTTAGCTTCTAGTAGATTAATAGGTAGAGAAGTTTTATAAGAAGCTACCTAAGAATATATATACGTAGTTAGAGATATACTAATATTAATATGTTAATAACTATAATTACTATATAGATCTTACTTAAGACCTTACTTAAAAGCTTACCTCTAGAGAAGTATACATTACTACTAGAAAGGCTAAAAAGCGTAACGTAATTACGTTAATGCTATAACGCGCGCCTCTAGCTCTTCTAGGTTTTTTAGTACTTAATAAAGCTCTAGTAATCTAGAAGCTAGTTACTTATTTTTAATGCTACTAACCTAGCTACCTAAGCTGTAATTACTCTAGAGCTCCTACTGTATAGAAAGCTATTAAGAACGCCGCTCTAGAGAAGCTCTTAGAGTTCTTAGAGCCTGCAGAGCTATAAGCACCTAAGAATAACACGTTAGAATGTAAATCTAATAATTTAGAAAAAGCCTAGCTCTAGAAGAAGTCTTCTCTCTAGAGCTACCTACTAGAGTAATAAACCTGCGTAAAAAGCTATTTAGTAGTTCTACGTTTACTCTACTCTACTAAATATCTATAAATAGTCTTATAATTAAGCTTAGAGGTTTAATTAATATAGAAGCGGGCAGCTACGTCTTAGTATACCTAAAGCACCTTTAAACTCTTAGAAAAAACCTCTACGTTAAGCTATTGCGTATAAAACTAATCCCCCTTACTAGGTATAATAGGCAACCTAATAGCTAAGTAGATAAGTATTTTAAAGCTAATCTAGTACTAGAGAGCTACTAAATCTATACTTACTTTATATATTATAACACTAGCTACTATAATATAATAATTAGTTATAAGCTACTTAAAGAAGTTAACGTTTAGGTTAACTATAAGTAGCGCGTACTAATGTAGCTAGATACTAATTAATTAATTAATTATAAACGCGACGCGTTTGTTTCTATACAATTCTCTTAATCTACTACTAAAGCTTAAGTAGCTTACTAAGCTAATACTAATTATTATAACGCCCTAATATTAGTAGTAGAAAAGCTAAGAGTAATATAATAAGAGAAGAGAGAATTATAACGCTAGAAGCTTTAAGAAAGCCTACGTAAGATAGATAGGTAGCTTAAGAATCTTAACCTATCTGCTAGGTTGCTCTACAAGCTAAAAAAGCTACCTATTTTGCAAGAAATATGCTTAAAGGCGG